ACTTTTGTTCTCAATCAATTGGTATAATAATTTTCCATGAAATGTAAATTATATTCAAATTAAAATGAGTATGTCACTCTCCCTAAGAATAGTCAATACAGTACAAACCAAAAAGATAAAAAAGATAATATCGATTTACTTTAGAAAAAAAATTTTTTTTTTGAGACAGAGTCTCACTCTGTTGCCCAGGCTAGAGTGCAGTGGTGCGATCTCAGCTCACTGCAACCTCTGCCTCCTGGGTTCAAGTGATTCTCCTGCCCTCAGCCTCCCAAGTAGTTGGGATTACAGATGCACCTTACCACGCCCAGCTAATTTTTGTATTTTTAGTACAGACTGGGTTTTACCACGTTGGCCAGGCTGGTCTCAAACTCCTGACCTCAGATGATCTGCCCATCTCTGCCTCCCAAAGTGCTGGGATTACAGGCATGAGCCACCACATCCAGCCATTTTAGAAATTTTTTTTATGGTAAAGATAATATCCCAAAAGTCTATGATGACTCCATAATTAACACTTTAGCTGATCAAAATATAAACCGCTCAGTTTTCAAGCATTTAGGTTAACCAAGATGGGCAAAGCTTGAGAATGACCTAAATTTGAAAAATATTTCATTTAGGATCTCTCTCTTTCAGATAACACTTACCTGTAATACTCGTTCATGAGCAGGATGCTCTTTTAATTCTATCAAGCGATCCAAAACTATGAGTTTTACATTGTTGTCGCTCTCCTTAATAATTAAATCAATGTAACACTGAGCAGCGGCCTATATAAAAAAAGAAATATTTTAAGAACTTATTCATCTATCATAAACATAAAATCTGAAAATAAGCATGCGCGTGCGTGTGCACGCGCGCACACCCACACACACACACACACACACTCCCATGAAGGCACAATACATTCATTAATTAATCCCTGTACTAGAGTTTATACATTATACATTTTGTTCTGAGGAATGGGTTCCTCTAGTCCCTTGTTATTTTTCAAACTTACAGAAGATTAGAGGCATTACAAATTAAAAGGATGAAAAAAAGCTGCTACAGGTAGAAATACTTACTAATAGCCAAAAATTAAGGATTGAAACTAAGGAACAAGCCAGAAAAAAGCAGGAAAAAAAATCCCAAGAAGTACATCTATTAAGCATATTTCAGTTTAGAGGCAAAGTCTAACTCATCTGCATTGCAGTACAGAAACAACAAGAATATAAAGATCACCCAGAGTTGTTAAAATATTTTAGTATTTATAATAATTATTAAGACAAAAAATGTGTAAAGTATTTTAGAATGATAGAATAAAATATCCATACTGATATAAAGAAAGAAGGAAAAGAAGGGAGGGAGGGAAGAGAAAGAACAGCCCTTCCCTGCACAAGAATTTCATTAATAAATATTGAATGAGAGAAACAGAAAACCACCATTAGAATACCATAGCAATAATTGTTGTAAGAAAATCCACTGATGGATGCTGAAATAAGTAGGTGTGAATTTGAGGAACAACAGTATATATTTGCATAGTTTCAAAGTATCTCCCCCCTACAACATTTACTGATTATACCAGAAGAAATCATAAAACTGGAAGATCTGGCAGACAGCAACTTCACTGATCAAGGTTAACATCATCAGTAATAAGACATATAGAAATCATGTACTCCTTGATAAGATACACTGAGAAGGACACATCACTTCTGTGGTATTCTTTCCAAAAATGTACAACCTCAATCTGAGAAAACAGACAAACCCAAGTTGAGGGATATTTTACAAACAAACCAGCCAGTCTTCTTCAAATGCGTCAAGGTCACGAAAAATAATAAATGACTGAGAACCAGCACAGACTGGAGGAAACTATGATATGACCACTAAATGCAATATGAGATCCTAGATTAGATCCTGAACAAAAAACGAACATCAGTGGAAAAACTGATGAAATATAAATAAAGCCTGTAGTTTGGTTAATGATATTGTTCTAATGTTAATTTTGTAGTTTTGACAATTATACAATGATTATAGAAGATGTGAACATATGAGAAAGGCTGGGTGAAGAATATATAAGAACTATGTCCCGGTCAGGTGTGGTGACTCACGCTTATAATCCTAGCACTTTGGAAGGTTGAGGTGGGTGGATCACAAGGTCAGGAGATCAAGACCATTCTGGCCAACACGGTGAAACCCTGTCTCTACTGAAAATACAAAAATTAGCTGGGTGTGGTGGCGTGCGCCTGTAGTCCCAGCTACTCAGGACGCTGAGGCAGGAGAACCACTTGAACCTGGGAGGCGGAGGTTGCAGTGAGCCAAGATCATGCCCCTACACTCCAGCCTGAGCAGCAGAGTGAGACTCCATCTCAAACACAAACAAAAAACCAAAAAAAAAAAAAAAGGACTTTGTACTATGTTTGCAATTTTTCTGTAAGTTTAAAATTATTTCAAAATAAAAAATAAAAAAAAATTTCAAGTTTTGGAGGGTAAAGCAGTAAATTCTCTAATTTAAACAATTTGGCTTTTAGAACAGCTCATTCTCTGAACAGATTAGGGGTTGCTGATATAGTCTTGATAGAATAAATTAGAGAAAGGGAGAAAGGTAATACTCTATTATTGAAAACACTCACTAAAACTTAAAATCTACATGTAACATTTTTCTTTTAATTTTTATTTTCTTAGAGACAGGGTCTCACTCTTTCACCTAGGCTGGAGTAATCACAGCTCACTGCAGTCTTGAACTCCTGGGCTCAAGCTATCCTCATGCCTCAGTCTTCAGAATAGCTGGGACTATAAGCACACACCGCCATGCCTAGCTAATTCATATTATTTTTTGTCTTGCTCTGTTGCCTAGGCTAGAGTACAGTGGCACCACCATAGCTCACTGCAACCTCGAACTCCTGGCCTCCAACAATCATCCCACCTTGGCCTCCCAAAGTACTGAGTCTCCAGGCATGCACCACCACACCTAGCACCAGTTAATTAAAAAAAAAAAAGTTCTGTACAGATAGGGTTTCTCTCTGTTGCCCAGGCTGGTCTCAAACTCCCGGTTTTAAGCAATCCTCCCAGCTTGGCCTCCCAAAGTGCTGGGATTTTAGGTGTTAGCCTCTGTGCCCAGCCACACACATAACTTTTGACTCCCCAAAAACTTAACTACTAATAACCTACCGTTGGCCAGAAGCCTTACCAATAACACAGTTGATTAAAACATGTTTTGTGGTCAGGCGTGGTGGCTCACGCCTATAATCCCAGCATTGTGGTAGGCTGAGGTGGGCGGATCACTTGAGGTCTAGAGTTCGAGATCAGCCTGGCCAACATGGTGAAACTCCATCTCTACTAAAAATACAAAAAATAAGATGGGCCATAGTAGTGGGCACCTGTAATCCCAGCTACTCAGGAAGCTGAGGAAGGGGAATTGCTTGAACCCGGGAGGTGGAGGTTGCAGTGAGCCAAGATTGCCCCACTCCAGCCTGGGTGACAAAGCAATACCTTGTCTCATACAAAACAAAACAAAAACTCGTATTTCATATGTTAAATGTATTATATATTCTTACAATCAAGTAAGCTAGAAAAAAGAAAATGTTAAGAAAAGTGTATGGAAAATATTTACTACTCATTAAGAGGAAGTAGATCATCATAAAGGTCTTCATTCCCAACCTCTTTACACTGAGTAGGCTAAGGAGGAGGAGGAAGAGGAAGAGGGATTGGTCTTGCTGTTTCAGGAGTAGAAGTGGAAAAAAAGTCCATGTATAAGTGGACTTGTGCAGTTTGAACCTTGTGTTGTCAGAGGTTAATTGTACTGTCATTCTCTGTCTGTATCTATATACATGTGTATGAAAGCAGGAAGGAAGAAAAGAAGGAAGGATGAACAATGTAAAGCATCAAATAGTTTTATAAAATTTGTAGTTGTTCTCTCTGTGCCATGTAACCACATAGTGAATTGCAATGTCACTAAATCAAGAGTGCTAAGACAGAAAATCAATCACCTAATCTGGCCTCAAAAGAAATACACAGTACCTTGATTGCAGTTGGTGCACTAGAGAGTGTCACTAATGTCCCAGCAGCTTCATATTTTACAGCAGGGCTGGATGACTGTAGTAAGTTATAGATGCAGCGAATAAAACGAGCTCTTTCTGATGGATTAGCGTGACAGACCTGGAGAAGAAAACATTAAGACTTCAACTGATTTCAGGAACGCTTGTTTTCAAATGGAGTTTTTTCATGAACATCAGCTTATGGTATGCTAGTTTTCTCAATATGAAAGCTAAGAACAGTCTTATGAGGACATATGAAAACATCAGCCAAAATGGGATAAGACACTGACACAACACTGGTAATTTCAGAAAGAAGTAAGAGGCCAACAAAAACATAGATAAGAAATGGCTTTAGGATGGTGTGAACGAAGTAATTTTTATAGCTATGCATTCATTTATTCATCCCATCATAATTTATATTTTTACTGTTTCATAAAAGGTTTTCTGATGGCTTAAAACATGTGTATGTTATACACAAGTGAAAGAGAAAAAGAAAATGTAAAGTAACAAAAGTAAGGACACATTAACCCAGTACACTAATATGGGTACTGTCACAGGATATTAAATTTGGTCCTACATTTTTATTCTGGATGCCAAAGAGAAACTTGACGGATGATATAAATCTCAATAGCTAATAAAAGGAAAATACCAGTTTTTCAAGCAAGAAAGATAACACATTTTTCCCAAGTACTACTACTTATTATTTGAAACTGTATTCAACTTTGGAGAGAAAACTAAAAATTTCTATCCCATCTAAACGCATCCTGATACCTTTGCTTGCATAGCAAATATCCCTTATTTTTTCTCTTTTGAAGTCAGTATTCATATTAGATTTTCCTAAAATATATATAGTCAAATCTCTATTACATGGACATGACTTAAAAGCTATTCCCTTTTACTAAAACATGGACCCTACTAAACAAGTCATTAGATAGCAGAGAACTGCTAATTTTGAGAACCTCAGCGGCATCCTAATACACACGAATTAAAAAGAACTATAGGCTGGGCATGGTGGCTCATGCCTGTAATCCCAGCACTTTGGGAGGCTGAAGTGGGCAGATCACGAAGTCAGGAGTTTGGGACCAGCCTGGGCAACATGGTGAAACCCCATCTCCATTAAAAATACAAAAATCAGCTCGGCACGGTGACATGCACCTGTAATTCCAGCTACTTAGGAGGCTGAGGCAGGAGAATCGCTTGAGCCCAGGAGGTAGAGGCAACAGAGAGCCACGATCGTGCCACTGCACTCCAGGCTGTGCAACAGAGCGAGACTCCACCAAAAAACACAAAAAACGAAAACAAAAACTGTATATTTACCAGTCTTCGTTTCATTTTAAACTTCCATTCCAAACTACTGGTACCTTGTGTTAAGAGGAGCCCCTTCTTACAGAAGCAAAGACAGCTATAATCAGTTAGTAGTGTCTACCACAGATGTTTTGACCATACTATTGTATTTAATAAAGTCATCTGGACCTACGTTTTGTTGGCCTCTAATGGTATCAATAGCAAAGTTGGATCTTACTGTACCTTTTATCAGAACATTAAGATGTAATAAACTCTTTCAAAGGATATATCACAATAAAGTATTGCCAATATAGTACTTCATTTAAAAATCCAAAATTCTTAGCTGGCTTTAGATTTCCTGTCAATGGCCTACAATGTCATATTTCATGCATTTAAATTTTTTCTATTCTCTTTTACAAACAGGGAACATAAAAAGTATTTAAGGCTTTTTTGTTTGATTTTAGTAGTCTGATATACGCTTAAGAAAATCTTGAATTTTATCCTAAAGCCTAATTCATAATCTATTCAGTGACTGGGAAGTTCACAATGATTTATGTGAGCTACACTGGCTCAAGCCATGAATTTTTATCAGAATCTTTATGGAGGTTTAGAAAGGATATAAGCAAGTATTCTACTTGGAAAACACAATAAACCAAAAGTAAAAGAAAAAAAGGCTTTACTAGGCTATGCTATAAAATATTTATACTATTAAAATATATTATCCTAGCAATTATTATCCCAGAAAGAAACTATTTAACCCTGTCTTAAACTGCTGAGTTTATTTTACCCATCATAGATTATCATTCTTACCTTATAAATCAGTTCAACAATAACCAACTGCAGAATGTCTCCAAATGTTTGAACTTGATCAATACAAGTACTTAAGTAATCTAAAGCTCGATCCTAAAATAATAAGAATATATTTATCGTCCGCCACCTCATTCAATAGAAGAACTTAATGCATCTTAAAAAAATACACACATTACAACTCAATATAAAACAAATGAGGAGATCAGGGCAAAGAGATATTAATTGGGAACAAAAATCAAGAACAAAGTTAACATATAAAATATAAGACATAAAGTTAAATATATTTTCTGGAAATGAGCCACAAACCTGGGGTCTGATTTTCTAGCAGCTAAACCAAAGAGGGAAAAACTATGTGTTATGGGATTCAGGGTATCCATACAATCAAAACCAGCTGCTTAGGTATATAGTTATTCCTATTACTGAGACCTAAAAGAAAAATCTCCTATGTGTTCTCATATATTGGACATTGTAATATAAAGAACTACAATACTGAAAACATCTCTCCAGTAAAAGTATCAATAAATTTTATTGGACTATTTCTGATTATGTCCCTTAATGTAGGTTAACAGCATAATGCCAAAAGCATTGGTCAGTAAAACCAATTACACAAGAGGACAAAACACTGTGGCTCATATAAACAGCTTTCTCATAATCTTGTTTAGGAAGACAAAATGACAATATCGAATACTGCTTCGCATGCCCATTAACGTTGCTACTATCAAAAAAAATAGTAACAAGTGTTAGCAAGAATGTGGAGAAGCTGGAACCCTTGTGCACTACCAGTGGAATGTAAAATGGTAGAGCTGCTGTGGAAAACAGTATGGCAACTTCTAAAAAAATTAAAAACAGAAGTGCTGTATATTCAGTAATTCCACTTCTGAGTATATACCCAAAAGAACAGAAAGCAAAGTCTCAAACAGATACGTGTACATCTACGTTCACAATAGCATTATTCCTAATAGCTAAAAGGCTGAAGTAACCCAAGCGTCCACCAATGGATGAACAGGTAAACCCAATGTGGCATATATTTACAATCAGGTATTACTTAGCCTTAAAAAGGAAAGAAATTCCAACACATACTGCAACATAAATGAACCTTGAAGACATTATGCTAAGCGAAATAAGCCAGTTACAAAAGGACAAATATTGTATGATTCCACTTACATGGACTACTTAGAGTAGTCAAAATCACAGAGACAGCAAGTAGAATGGTGGTTGCCAGGGACTGGGAGGAAATGGTAATAAGGATTTTTTTTTTTTGATGGGTACAGAGTTTCAGCTTTGCAAGATAAAAAAAGTTATGAGGATGGAAGGTAGTGATGGTACTACATTATAAATGTATTTAAAATCATGGAACACTTAAAAATGGTTAAGGTGATAATTTTTGTTATGTGTATGTTACCACAATTTTAAATAATTAGGGGACAATCCATTAAAGGAAGATCTGGGGGAAAAAAGTAACAGTATCTAGATTTCAGAGGAATGGAAGGCCTCCCTATTTTTCAGTCTTCATGCATATTATTTCCCATATTTTGGTGATAAATACTGGCTAGAAAATTTCAAGATTAGATGGCATCAAGGTGTACAGAGTAATTGCTAACCAAAAGTAGATCCATATACTTTAACCACCAGCAGAGCAGGATGCAGAGTTGGCACCCACGTATGAAAGCTGAAGAACTTAAAAGGATACACATCTACACTGAAGGCCACCCTATTTCCACAGGCATGGCTAAGGATGTACCTATGCAAAGCTACTATTTTTCTCTACTAAACAATTTTAGATCTATACCGACGTAAGAAAGAACAGGTCATCAAAGCCCCAAAATAGAACACAGCCATAATAATTTCAATTTTAAAAAACTGTAAGGTGGCTGTTCTAAAATGCCTCTTCAATGTTTAATTGAAAAAAAAGAATGTATATGTATGCAATATTTTAGAGAAGCGTTAAAAAAAATGTATTTTTCTACAAGCCTAAAATTATCAAAATACACAAACCACATGAACTATAAACAAAATTACTGACTAAAACCATGATTAAGCCTATGTAATACTTTTAATTCTCACTTAAATACAGTAATAAAAGTATTTTTTCAAAAGTACTTCACCTGATCTGCATGAATTAGCATCATAAATGCATTCCTTTTGCAACTTGCATCCTTCTCATTCACCAGAAAATCATGTATCAGTTCAGGAGCATCAGGTATAAGATGTTCAAAATTTCTTTAAATAAAACAGATATCCATATTTAATAAAAACCTACTTTACTATTTTAGTAACTCTCTGGACAATACCAAAATTAAATTTAATCAAACTTTACAACATAAATTATTCTTTTGCTTTTTTTTTTTTTGAGACAGTCTTACTCTGTTGCCTGGGCTGGAGTGCAGTGGTGCGATCTCAGCTCACTGCTGCCTCCACCTCCAGGGTTCAAGTGATTCTCCTGCCTCAGCCTTCTGAGTAGTTGGGATTATAGGGTGCCCACCACTATGCCCAGCTAATTTTTTGTATTTTTATTAGAGATGGGGTTTCACCATGTTGGCCAGGCTGGTCTTGAACTCCTGACCTCATGATTTGCCCACCTTGGCCTCCCAAAGTGCTGGGATTACAGGTGTGAGCCACCGTGCCCAGCCATTTCATTTGCTTTTTAAAACTTCTTTTTTTTTTTTTTTTTGAAACGGAGTCTCGCTCTTTTGCCCAGGCTGGAGTGCTGTGGAGTGATCTCAGCTCACTGCAACCTCTACCTCCCAGGTCAAGTGATTCTCCTGCCTCAGCCTCCTGAGTATCTGAGACTACAGGCACGCACCACCATGCCAGGCGAATTTTTGTTATTTTTTTAGTAGAGACGGCATTTTGCCATGTTGGCCAGGCTTGTCTCATACTCCTGACCTCAAGTGATTCACCCGCCTCGGCTTCCCAAAGTGCTGGGATTACAGACATGAGCCACCATGCCCAGCCTGCTGTTTGAAACTTCAAATCAATTGGAACTGGGAGAAGGAAACACAAAGTTAAACCTTCATCTATTAAGTTATCAAATTATACGTTTTCTAGTTCAATACAGAAAAAGCTGATTTATTCAACATGCCATCTGTTAACTAGTGTCTCTAATAACTGTTGTGCATACATTTTAAGCATATCAATATATTAAGAATTACATTAAGAGGAAGAAAATAGCACCTTGGATTTTATTAGTTGTGCGCTATTTACTTACTGACTTGCCTCTTCTTTTGGAAATTTAGAAATATTAGTACACAGAAGAGTGAACACTAGCTTAATAAAATGCATCACCTTGCTTCAACAATTATTAATTCATAGCTAGTTTTGTTTCATCTATATCCTTGCCAAATTTCCCTCCTGCCATATTATTTTGAAGCAAATCACAGGCAATAGGCAATGCATCCTTTCTTCTGTAAATATATTGGTAGGTTTCTCTAAAATTGAGGACTCTTGTAAAACTAATTATTCATCATCATATCTCACAAATTTGAACAAATTTGTTCAAATTTCCAACAGTCTTATAAGTGGCCTAATTTTTCTATATGCACTATAGTTTAAATTCTGAAATTTGTGTAGTCTGTATGGTAACATTAAAGGAACTCACCTACATCATTATTATTATTATTATTCTAATTTTTGAGATGGAGTTTCGCTCTTGTTGCCCAGGCTAGAGTGCAATGGTGTGATCCTGGCTCACCGCAACCTCTGCCTCCCAGGTTTGAGCAATTCTACTGCCTCAGCCTCCCGAGTAACTGGGATTACAGGTATGTGCCACCACGCCCGGCTAATTTTGTATTTTTAGTAGAGACGGGGTTTTCCATGTTGGTCAGGCTGGTCTCGAACTCCCGACCTCAGGTGATCGGCCCGCCTTGGCCTTCCAAAGTGCTGGGATTACAGGCATCAGCCGCCACACCTGGCTCACCTACATTATTAACCAGAATACCACTTTCCTTAATGGATAAAATCTAATAGTAAGATAACTATGAAATTGTATCTTAACCAACAAATCTACTAAAGTACAAAGATGCTTATAAACATTACATTGTAGTGCTTAATGAATTGATACCTGTGACTGTAAAAACTGAGCATTCTAGCTTCATCTGATTCCTTGAATTGGTTTAAAAATTCAAAATCTCAGCCAGGTGTGGTAGCCCACGCCTACAATCCCAGCACTTTGGGAGGCCAAGGCGGGTGGATCACTTGAGGTCAGGAGTTCGAGACCAGCCTGGCCAACATGGTGAAACCCTGTCTCTACTAAAAATACAAAAATTGGCTGAGCATGGTGGTGGGTGCCTGTAATCCCAGCTACTTGGGAGGCTGAAGCAGAAGAATCACTTGAACCCAGGAGGTGGAGGTTGTTGTGAGCTGAGATCGCGCCACTGTGCTCCAGCCTGGGCAACAAGAGTGAAACTCCATCTCAAAACAAAACAAAAACAAAATTTCAAAATCTTCAGTTTTCTAAGAATTGGAATCAATTATAACTGTAGCCCTTCTCATTTAAAAAGTTCCTTCCTCAAAGCTTCTGACAGTAAAAAGAAAAGACCGACATTCCACAAAAAGAACTCTAAAACAAAGTCCAAAGTTAAAAGCTAAGCAAGTGAACATATAAAGTGGCTTGGAGTAATAGGGTTGAGAATGATAGGCACTGTCATAAACTGTAAAGTATATAACTTATTTAAAGGGGGTTATTGTTATCCAAGTTCAGCAGAATGTTGTTATGCAGAAGCTAGGGCCAGCGCTGCCAGATCTTTTGACTTTTCAATGTTCATAATAAAATATACAGTGCTGGCCATACAAAACATAGCTCCAAGCTATATTCAGTCTGCAAGCAACCATTTTGGAACCATTAGTCTAAGAGACTAAACAGTCTTCACAAAATGAAGCTGAAGCAGTATCTTTATTTACCTATAGATGGTATAGATGGCCAAAACAGCATTTCTTCTAACATAGCTGTGTCGATGCTCCAAACACGCACGAATAGCTGGCATTAAAGGTTCTAGCAATTCTGCTTCTTTCAATTTGCAAAGAAAACGAAGAGTAGATCCTCGAATAAATTCATTAGGATGCTGAAGATCCTGATATAAAAATTAAAATATGCTGAGTTTCAGCTCTTTACAAAAATAAAATTTTAATGCAAAACTTTCCAATGGAAAAAAAAATACATTTGAGAAAAAAGACCTAGATTACCAATTTCCATCATATTCTTGTTGACTGAAGCAATTTTTACCTATCTCATCAATGTCTTACATGTGTCACTGTTTTTTAATTAATATATACACATAAAATGCATAGAAAATGTCTGAAAAGAGTGACGATAAAACTTTTTACAATAACTCTTTACAACTTTAATTCCAAATCTCTACAACTTACATCTTATCAAAGACTCAATTTTAACAATTAAAACAAAGCCCATTCTACCAATTTTAGATCTAAATTCAAAGCAATATTCAGACAAAATTAAGATTTGGTTTACCTTTCTATATGCATCACATACAAGGATCATCTCGTGTAAAAGTCTCCCATCTGGAGTTGTTTTAGGAACAATTTCCCAAAATACCAGAAGTAATTTCTTGATAGTGTGATCCTGAAGAGGTAGCACAAAACGAATGATGGTCATCAGAAGTCCAGGAAGCTTTTCACCATTCAGAATCATAATGATTACTTTCTTCAAAGCTTCAGTCTTTGACTTTACATCTCCTTTTTCTGAATCACAAATTGAAAAAAAAAAAAAGCACAATTATTTCAAAAGAAAATTCATCACATAAATTTAAAAGCAATTAACAAAATAAAATGTATCTTCTTAATTCAGTATCAGCAATGGTAATAAAAGTACAAACCCAAGTGACAAGCGTTCTTCACCTGGTTCTCCACCAAACAAGTTGTCTTTGTTCAAGTCATTTATCTCTGGAAATCAGACTCTTTATATACAATATGAAGGCATTGGATTAGATTTCTGGTTCCCAGCCAATTGAGTTAATGCAGACTCCATGAATCTACAGTCATACCAAGTAAACATGTGCTTCAAAACACATATAGCTATTTTTCAAAATGTAAACACATGCTATTAATTGCTTCTGAATTCAAAACAGCTTTTAGCTATTTGTGTGCATTTTAGCAAAGTTAAAACTACTATTACGGGAGGATAAATATGTAACTTTTTTAACATTAGAAAGAGAAATGTCATACTCAAAAAGGCGGAAAACTAAAATAGTGCATTATTTCTAAAATCTCATCATAGTTCTACAGGCTGTAAAACTTTAGAATCTTTCTTACCATCTGGAAAACTGCGAGGTAATTCAAATGTTCTAGATTAGTAGTCATTATTTAGAATTAAGGATGACACATTTAAGATAAAATGCTAGTTTACTTTTAGCCTAAAAACTCTGCAATATAAAGTATTTTATGCAAAACTATCTATAATTTCACACCATTATCACTGCATACTGAAGAATTTATAGTACTAAAAATCTTCTGGATGCAAAATTCAAAGGCAGAGAAGTATGAAGCAGCACACTGCTACTACAACTGTTTAGATCATCAAAATAAATGAATTATCTTGGGAAGGGGAGAACAAAGAGTGACCACAAGTCTTCAATAATCTCAGGACTATTATGAGGAAAAGAACTACGACTAATGGTAGAAAACTAATGGTAGAAAAGAACTACAACTAATAGTTACTGGGAACCAGATTTGGGCCTAAATATGAGAAATAAATTTATAATAATTAGAGCTAAACGGCTATTAAATGAAAAGTTCTGAGAGTCAGATGAGGTAGCCACTTAAACTTTTTGTATTTTTACTAGAGATGTGGTTTCACCATGTTGGTCACTCTGGTCTCGAACTCCTGACGTCAAGTGATCCACCTGCCTCAGCTTCCCAAAGTGCTGGGATAACAGGCATGAGCCACCGTGCCCAGTCTCAACTGTTCTTAATGGCAAAAATATACATTAAACTGGAGAGTACGTATATATTTATTGGTTGGAGGAAGGTAGTTAAGGCAGCTTCAATTAAGACTAGGGCATTGTTCCAACTAGGGGCAAATTTTGTTCTTTACCTTCCTACCTATAACCTTAAGTATCCTGAGGATCTAATAATGAAAAATTTTAAATTATGAGGGAAAAAAACCACTAATGAGTGTATTCACTATTTTGCATTCAACTATCCTACATGAATATGAAAACAGGGAAATATATGTGGCTTATGCATATAATGGTATCATTTTAAATGTCATAAAAGTGGGTTTCTTTTCCCTTCTCTAAAAATAGACCTCTATAGAAACCTAGTATTAAGTAACCTAAAATCAGGAGGTATTCCATTACTGCTGATTAAGAAGTGGGATTAGACAAGTAAAACATTAAGTTTCTTTTCAAACTGCAAACTATCTTCTAAAAGATACTTTCTATATTTGAAGCATAATTCTCACTCTGCTCTGTTTAAACAATATTTATCAGTTTAAGTTATATTTATTTTTAGTAGTTCAATTAAACAAGAATCATAACTTTGGAAAGTGTATTAATTATAAATTTTTTTTCTTGACAGAATCACTCACAAAAAGGAGACACAGGATACATTTTTAAAATTCAGAAATATGATAAATTCAGTTAAGTTTGAGGACACAAAATCAACATACAAAAATAAGTAAAATTTCTATATGCCAACGGTGAACAATCTGAAAAAGAAATTTAAAAATTAATCTAATCCCATTTACAATACCCACACATAAAATTAGATATCTAGGAATTAATTTAATCAAAGAAATGAAAAGAGTTCTACAATGAAAACTATAAATACTGATGAAAGAAGTTGAAGAGGACATCAACAAATGGAAAGATCTTCCATGATCATGGATTAGAAGAATCAATATTGCTAAAATGTCCATACCACCCCCAAAACAATCTAGATTCAATAAAATTCCTATCAAAATACCAATGACATTCTTCATAGAACTAGAAAAAACAATCCTAAAATTTATATGGAACCACAAAAGACCCAGAATAGCTAAAGCAATCTTTAGCAAAAAGAACAAAACTGAAGGAATCACATTATTTGACATCAAATTATCCTACATAGCTATAGTAATCAAAACAGCATGGTACTGGCATAAAAACACACACAGACCGATGGACAATAATAGACAACCTGGAAACAAATCCATACACCTACAGTGAACTCATTTTGACAAAGGTGCCAAGAACATACATTGGGGAAAAGACAGTCCCTTCAACAGTGGTGCTTGGAAAACTAAATGCAGAAGAATGAAACTTGTCCCTATCTCTTAACTTATACAAAAATAAAATCAAAATAGATTAAAGGCTTAAATCTAAGACTTTAAACTATGAAACTACTACGAGAAAACATTGGGAAAAACCTCCAGGTAACTGGTCTGGCCAAAAATGTCTTCAGTAATACCCCACAGGCACAGGCAACCAAAGCAAAAACGGACAAACGGGATCATATCAAGTTAAAAAGCTTCCGCACAGCAAAGGAAACAATTGACATACGTGATGAGACAACCCACAGAATGGAAGAAAATATGTGCAGACTACCCATCTAACAAGGGATTAATAACCAGAAAATGTAAGGAGCTCAAAAAACTCTATAGGAAAAAAAAATCTCATAATCTGATCTAAAAATGGGCAAAAGATTTGAACAGACATTTCAGAAATACATACAAATGGCAAACAGGCATATGAAAAGGTGCTCAACGTCACTGATCATAAGAGAAATGCACATCAAAACTACAATGAGATATCATCTCACCCCAGTTAAAATGGCTTTTATCCAAAAGACAAGCAATAACAAATGCTGGTGAAGATATGGAGAAAAGGGAACCCTTGTACACTGTTGGTAGGAATGTAAACTAGTACAACCACTACAGAGAAGTTTGGAGGGTCCTCAAAAAACTAAAAATAGAGCTACCATACGATTCAGCAATCTGACTGCTGGGTATATATCCAAAAGAAAGGAAGTGAGTACATCAAAGAGATATCTGCACTCCTATGTTTGTTGCAGCACTGTTTACAACAGTCAAAACTTGAAAGCAACCTGTGTCCACCAACGGATAAATCGATAAAGAAAATGTGGTACATATACACAATGGAGTACTATTCAACCATAAAAAAGAATGAGATCCTGCCATTTGCAACAACATGGATGGTACTGGAGGTCATTATGTTACGTGAAATAAGTCAGGCACAGAAAGACAAACTTCACATGTTCTCACTTACTTGTGGAAGCTAAAAATCAAACAAACTCATGGAGATAGAGTAAAAGGATGGTTATCAGAGGTGGGAAGGGTAGTGGGAGGAAAGCGGAGATGGCTAAAAAAGAAAAAATGAGTTAGACCCAATATTTGATAGCACCCGGGGTAACTATAGTCAATAATAATTTAATTGTACATTTAAAAATAACTAAAAGTGTAACTGGTTTGTCACACAAAAGATAAATGCTTGAAGGGATGGATACTCCATTTTTCCATGATGTGATGATTATGCATTGCATGCCTGTATCAAAGCATTTCATGTACCCCATAAATATATACATCTACTATATACCCACAAAAATTAAACATTAAAAAAATAAAATTCACAAATATAGTTGTTTTCTTGTTTGTAAAAATGCTTAAAAAATGAAAAGTTAAACTTTTCGGGAAAATACATGTTTATTCCAGTGTTGATCTAATTGTCTGGGTGGGTAACCCAAAGAACAAAGTTCTTTTGGTTTTACAAGTTAAGTAACACGAAATTAAGTGCACGATAGAATTAAGATATTCCAATACACATCCTCAATCTGTTGCCTAGAGAATATCATCAGCTACATTAAGTATAATATATTGAACTCCACAAAAATTATGACATTTTGAGGAATATCTAAACTATTAAAATCTCTTTAGGTTTACTGAGATGTTCTATTTCAAACAATCAATATTTAGTCTAAAGGAGTTCGCATTTAATTTAATAAAAGGTCTATTGAAGAGATCCTAGAAAAACTTTAGACAAAAATTAAGCATTTCTAATTATAAAGGAATATGAAATATGAGTTTTTTATTTTCGTCTTTTCTTTTTTCATTTCATTCTCAAAATAATATCAAAGTTTACCTAGATCATTTTTTAAGCTAATTTCAGATGGTGGTTCTGAATCCATTGGCACGTTAATTAACGTGTAGCACACGTTCTCAGCTGCCGTCATGGTTTCTGGTTATATTATAATTAATCCTTGATACAAGACTTAAGGATGCCAGAAAATCTAGAAAAATAAACACAGGTAAATGATTACAAATCAAACAAAGAAACAAACAAAAAACCCACAAACCAGTATCTATAGTGACATTTTAAAGTATTAGAAAGGACAGGTCAATCTATATCGTGTTCCCATAAAAATAAATTCTAGTAAAAACCACACTGTCACCTCCGGCATAAGGTATATTATCTATCACTCCCTCCATCGCACACGAGTCCAGTGTTTGAGAATGCTGTACAGCCGAAGGAAGGCCCACAGAACAGTGACAGTCCCCCAGCCAAACCCCACAATGTTATGGAACATATAGTTTTTAACACAACACACAATCTGCATGCTCAAGTTAGGAGACCTTGTGCCTGAATACACTGCCAAAACCCTAAAGCGCTTTATCGCGGTCCTTGGTGGGTTCCGACTATATGTCCGCGGGTCCCTTAATCAGCGCGCTGCACCCCCACCTCGCCCCACTCGCTTCCTCCTCCCCTTCCCCCAGCAAAGCAGGCCTGGGCCTGAAAGGGTAAGCCTCGGGGTCTTGGGAGGGAAAGACCCCTGACCAATACAGAGGGCGGGACGGAGCGTCCGACCCGGAGCTTCCTAGGCCCCCGCCCCTACCCCCACCCCGTCCCCTCTGCCAGGCCCAGACGCAAGCGGCCTAGTCGCTCCCTTTCCGCATCTTCCAGCTAGAGAGCCAGTTCTTCCGACTCTGCCCGACCCACCACTCCTCCGGGACTGGGGGCTTGTGGCCCACTACCGGGCTCCGAGGGGTAGTGGTTTGGGGCAGCCGTGGATCCGTCTACTCCAGCTCCAACCCGCAGCAGCGGCGGCAGCTCCAGAGTCCTTGGCTGACGTGGAAGGGGGTGGGGTAACGACCAAAGCCACAGCCACCTAGCACCTACGGCGACTCAGAGAGGACATGCCTTCTTTGTGCAGCGCTTGCGCGCTGCAAGTGTATCCTATTTTCTTACTCTTCTCTCGTCCGGGGTTGGATTAGGCCACAGAGCAATGAAACCACGTATTTTCTAGTTTTCCCTGAAAGCCAAGAGCTGAGTTAGGCACTATGCTCATTTAAACTCTAACTGGAAATCGTTCCTTCTTCCAGGAACAGTCAAGGGGAGGAAGTGCTTGGAGAGAGGGAAAGTTTTGCAGGGCTGTATTCCCGTGAAAAACAGCTCTGGACTGGAAAGTGGAAACCCAGGAATGCTTTTTCTTGCTAACCCCCTAATAAACTGGGAAAGTAACTAATACTATTGGGAAACTAATTCAGTTATTTTATTAATGGTCACTAGATTAAAATCCATTTCAGTTCTTAACATCGCGTGTAGTTTGAATCTGCCTCTCTGCAGGTAGGGCTAGAGTTATTTGAAAATCCAAAGCCACATTGGTATAATTTCTTTTTATTTAATAATGCCCTCTTTCCGTGATCCTTCCTGAGCACCCAGTAGATTAGAAAAAATTTTTATGCATAAAGGGAGACAGTCACTGCTTGAAAGGATTTTACGTATCTCCAAAGACCTAATTGTTACAGCTGCAATCAGCCACAGTACTTTTGGTTTTGCCCATTTGAAGTTCCATAGCACGCCCCGCCCCTACTCCCCCTCTTCCCCCAAAAAGGTTTTATGGCCAATTATTAATAACAAAATATTTTAAAGCTTAAGCAAAATATTGTGAATAAAAAGAGATCTGACGGCAACTGCCCTAATTAACAGGTTCATCTCAGAAGATGGAACACCAATAGTACCTCATTTATGTAGGATCTAGCTCTTTTGAGATTTCTCTTTTTAGAACCATTAAGCAAACTACATATTCTTTGAGCACCCAAAATGTATTACAAAAGCCATGTGTTGACAGCACTTTAAGAGTGCCTCCTCTGATTCTGTGCACTCATTTTTAAAAAACAATTGTAGAATGACTTGAATACAGTTTCCATATACTCTTTACCCAGTTTCTCCCAATAGTAACATCTTGCATATAGTACAATATCAATTTCAAGAAATTGACAGACATAATTCACCCAACCTTATTCAGACTTCACTAGTTTTACATGTACTCATTTTTATATTCACTTGTAGACAATTTTATCATTCTTATATGTGTGTGATCACCAACACAGTCGAGACACAGAACAGTTCCATCACAAGGATTCTCATGCTGTCATGTCATCCTTTGATAGCCATAGCCACCTCCCACACTAACCTGTGGCAACCACTAATAATTTTCTATGATTTTTATCATCTCAATGTTATATAAATGGAATTATACAATAATATTTTGAGACTGGATTTTTTTACTCAGTGTAATTCCCTTGAGATCAATCCAAGATGTGTGTACAACAGTTTGTTCCTTTTCTGTGTATTCGTTTTTAACATGAAGTTTTACAAATGCAGTTATCTGGTTTCCAAGCCCACTTAACTTACCAAAAAGTGGCAATCTGTCAGCAAAAAAGGTATAAAAACTAGACTTACAGTAAGAAAGCTCAGTTTAGGGCCATCATGGGGTAGGACTTAAACCGTACAGACTTCATTTGCCCCGGAGGTTCATTGTGTTACAGAATAACTTTGAGGTTTCTCATGACCCCAAGTCATTAAGTACTAAATATGAAAAGGCAAGAAAATGTAATGTTTTACATATTACTTTAGTTAGATCTGAACCTACAATTGTCATTGGCAGTGCATATATTTTTCCATATTCTTAAGTACAAAGCTTTTTGAATGGGTATAAGGACCTTAATATTAGCCTCATTAACTCTTCCTGATCTGTTGTAAAACACATTTTGTTTTGGGCTTTTTTACTCTAAGATATAATCATATAATTTTGAATGCCTTTTAAATTATAAATGCAGAGCAAAGACATGTCATTATATCAAGGACCATAGAAATTGTGATATCTAAAAAGTCAAGGCCTAGAGAATAGGGACTTGCCCCACCAAATCATGTAATGGCCAAACACTGAGTTAGAACTAGGACCTGAATCCTGTCATCTACTTTATTTCTTTTATTTTTTTGAGACAAGAGTCTCACTCTGTCACCCAGGCCAGAGTACAGCGGTGTGATCATAGCTCATTGCAGCCGCAGACTCTGGGCTCAAGTGATTCTCCCACCTCAGCCTCCTGAGTAGCTGGGACCACAGATGTGTGCCACCACACCCAGCTAAGTTTTAAAAATTTTTATAGAGATGGGGTCTCACCATATTGCCCAGGTTGGTCTTGAACTCCTGAACTCAAGCAATCCTCCCACCTCAGCCTCTCAAAGTGTTGGGATTACAGGCGTGAGCCAACGCACCTAGCTACTGCCTTTTATTCCATGCCAGTTTTTCAGAGCTGCACATACACATGCTCAATAAATGTCAGGTGAATTGAGTATCTTTGTATCAAAGTGACAGACTTTATAAAACATCATTAGGATTTTACTGTTTGTAATTATTCAGCAGACTAAATGGAGTATGTGAGTACAACAGACTAAACGTGAAAGGGCGTCACAATGAACTGTATATACAGTGGGGTTGAGTATTACTGGAGTGGGAGGACTTTAAGTTCGAAAGTCAGTATATAAGACTAAAAATCACGTTGAAAAAATTACTTAAATTGCTCCCGAAATACAATACAGAATATTTATTTATTTATTTATTTATTTTAGTTGAATACAAGCCAACTAGTGGTTTGCATTTGTGGAACAGGTGCATGTTCCACAAGGATAAACATACAATATCTTTGTTTTTATTTTTTGAGACAGAGTCTCGCTGTGTCGCCTGACCAGGCTGGAGTGCAGTGGCATTATCTCAGCTCACTGCAACTTCCGCCTCCCAAGTTCAAGCGATTTTCCTGCCTCAGCCTCCCGAGAAGCTGGGACTACAGGCGTGTGCTACCATGCCCAGCTAATTTTTGTATTTTTAGTAGAGATGGGGTTTTGGCATGTTGGCCAGGCCGGTCTCGAATTCCTGACCTCAGGTGATCCGCCCTCCTCAGCCTCCCAAAGTGCTGGGATTACAAGTGTGAGCCACAATATTTTTAAACAACAGAATCATTCAGCGAAGAGAGGCTCACCCAATGGAAGGCATGTGGAAGAGAGACCTGCCTAAGTAAAAGGCAGATTATTACATTTCCCGCTTATGCTCCCTCCCCAGACTATATACCCATTGAGTGTGGAGGCAGGTGGGAGTTTCTGAGTTCACTATTGTGTGTGTGTGTGTGTATGTGTGGCAAGTTACATGTGCTTGATGCAACTCCATTGTAGGTCAAATAGCCACATGGTACTTGCATCTAACTCCCAAGCTTACATGGTAGATTCCTGAGGCTACTGGTGGAGAAACTGACATCTTTCCCTTAATAGGGCTCCCAGAGCTACTTTTACCATTCTCTAAGAAATCAGGGAGATTTAAACCTACTAAGGTTTTTGAAGATTTGGGGAAGTTGGGGGGGGAAATAAACTAACATTGTATGAATTTGAGTTTAAAAGGTGTTATCACATAAATTCTCCCTTTTAACCCTCAGTATAATTCTCCAAAGGGTTTCCTTAAAATGGTTAAGTAACTTGCCCAAAGCCAGTAGCAGCTAATTAGAATCAGGTCTAAAATGGGTTACTATCTGTAAATTAATTTCTCTTCAGAAAGACGTATTATCTCAGAAAATAAAATAACTCCTCTAGACATCAACAGCCAAATTTTGGATTATGGGTTTTTTAAAATTAAATTAAAATTTTTTTTGAGATGGAGTTTCACTCTTGTTGCCCAGGCTAGAGTGCAATGGTACAATCTCGACTCACTGCAACCTCTGCCTCCTGGGTTCAAGTGATTCTCCTGCCCCAGCCTCCTGAGTAGCTAGGATTATAGGCATGTGCCAGCACACCCAGCTAATTGTTTCGTATTTTTAGTACAGATGAGGTTTCTCCACGTTGGTCAGGTTGGTCTCGAACTCCTGACCTCAGGTGATCTGCCCACCTCGGCTTCCCAAAGTGCTGGGATTACAGGCATGAGCCACTGCGCCCAGCCAGGATTATGTTTTTTTTGTTTTTTTTTAAAATCAGATTATTTCCTCTAATTTCATTTTACATAGTCTAAGATAAAAATGGTTCTGCAATACCTGAGTATACCACTCATGGGAATAACAGAAGGCAGCCTAAAGATCATGCTGGAGTGGGGCTGGAGAGGATAAAACGTTTAGGATTAAAATTTCCCATGTGTTGTTTTTATAGAAGTTCCCTACAAAGATCAGAGCTACAACTACTGCCATCTGCTGGTTGGAAAGAAAACCATTCATATGATAGTTGATGCTTATATCAGGAAGTGGTGGTTTCTTAGGTTTTAATTAAAATCACCACAGTTGAACCCTGAAATTTTTTTTTTTTTTTTTTTTGAGACGGAGTCTCGCTCTGTCGCCCAGGCTGGAGTGCAGTGGCGCGATCTCGGCTCACTGCAAGCTCCGCCTCCCAGGTTCACGCCATTTTCCTGCCTCAGCCTCCCATGTAGCTGGGACTACAGGTGCCCACCACCGCGCCCGGCTAATTTTTGTATTTTTAGTAGAGACAGGGTTTCACCGTGTTAGCCAGGATGGTCTCGATCTCCTGACCTCGTGATCCGCCCGTCTCGGCCTCCCAAAGTGCTGGGATTACAGGCGTGAGCCACTGCGCCCGGCCTGAAATTTGTATTCTAAACCAAATCTCCATGGATTCTCATGCAGCCAGTCCATACACTGGAGAATTGTTATACGGCTATGACAGATAAGAGATATTATTTTTCTCCATCACTAAAAATAAGGCAATTTAATTAGACAAATGACCAGTTGTAATCCCAGACTACTACATACAGTTGAAGCTACTTAAAAAAATAAAAAGCCAATATACCAGGCATTGAAACAATTTTATTTCACAGTTGTCTTTAAAACCACAAAGACACCTATATTCTTCATATAAAAACATTAGTATAGATACCCATACTTTCTAGAAAATGATTATACAGACCCTCTCAAAGAAAAATGTATTCCATTATATAGGTTTCAGTGAGGTTGCTTGGAAAAAACTCACATCTGGACTGATTCCTAAAACATAGCATTCCACCACTCTGCAACTTTTGGTTCAAAGTATAGATTATTGTCATCAGTATGTGGTGCCTATATTCTTACATATTTGATAATACATATATAGACTGGCTTATCACTTAATGTTCCATTGGTTCATCAGCCTTTTCTGCAGGTTCATCAGCAGGTTGAGCAGGCTTAACAGGGAAAGAAAAAAAGAAAATATGTAAAATGAACACTTGGTCAGTATACACATCTAATCACAAATATTACATTATAAAAAATTGAGAAAAAGGGGTAAAGAGATATTCTGAATACACAATTTTAGTTCACTGTTCTGTTAACATTTCTGAGCAGTACTTTTTTTCTCCTTGAGTGCTCATGATTTGAGGTGAATAAAGATTTTTTATTTAAAAAAAAAATACAGTTGGCCCTTGAACAACAAAGGTTTAAACAGTGAGGGTACATTTATATGCAGATTTTTTTCTTTTTCTTTTTGTTTGCTTTCACTCTAACATTGTTTAGGGTGAAGTTTTTGTTTGTTTGTTTTTTTCCAATAAATATAAACTAGCAGACCAACTGTGTAGCCTAGAAATATAATAAAAAAGAATAAGAAAAAGGTATGCCATGAATGCATAAAATATATGTAGAAACTAGTCTATTTGGTTGGGTGCAGCGGTTCACACCTGTAATCCCAACACACTGGGAGGCTGAGGCAGAAGGATTGTCTGAGCCCATGAGTTTGAAACTGGCCTGGGCAACACAGTGAGATCCTGTCTCTACTAAAAAGAAAAAAAATTTGCTGGGCACGGTGGCACACACCTGTAGTTTCAGCTACTTGGTGGGGTAGGGGGAAGTGGGAAAATCGCTTGAGCCCAGGAGTTCAACCTTGCAGTGAGGTCTGATAGCACCACTGCACTCCAGCCTGGACAAGAGGGCAAGACCTTGCCTCAAAAAACAAAAAAAAAGAAACTAGTCTATTTATGTGTTAAATGCCAGTTTATGTAATCGGTAAGGCTTCCAGTCAACAGCAGGCTATCAGAAGATTTTTAGGAGTCAAAAGTTGTATGTGATTTTTCAACTGTGCTGGGGTTTGGCACTACTAAACCCCACACTGTTTGAGGATAACTGTACATATAATTTCACATTTCTGAAAACCTAAATATCATTGAACAATTCTACCATTTTAACATACTTTGTATTGCTCAGGAGTAAAAGCCTCCCTTGTATTATCACTATTAGGCTTAAAATACAATCAGCACTTTTTAGACATTCTTTTCCCCTTTACCAAACTAGTTGTGCGATATTCCACAGCATTCTTCCCAACAGTGCTAGTTTTTATCAAAAACAGTTTAAATATTGCAAATCTTGCTCCCCCAAATAGTACCAACAATATCCTTTTCAAGTTCAAAATACTCATGCTGTAGAGATTTCCATACTAGATTCTTTTTTACTTTCAATTACATAGCTATCAAATAAGCATCTATAAATAGCAAATGTGTATTCTAAACATCCAGCAAAAAGACACGTATTTAACCTGAGATTCACTTCTTGATGCTTTTCTCTTCATGAAGAGCCATCTTAGTGTCCAAAGCTGGCCCCCAATGAACATTTCTTCCAGTTTCCGCTCACACAGAATCTGGGCCGGGCCAGTGACTCACTTTAACCAACCGAATGTGTGTAAGTGATGTTGTGCCAGTCCTGCGTCTCAGCCTTAAGAATGCCTGGCGGCTTTCACTTCTGACTTTTGCAAGCCCTGAGTTGCCAACATGCTAGAGAGATCCTGCTGAAGAAGTGGCCCTGAAACTACATGGATAGAGGCTCAGTCATCCTAGCAGAGGTCTTTGCCTTATAGATGCTCCTCTAAGACACCTAAAAGGTGTTAGTAAAGAAGACAGGTGACTAAAGTTTTCTTGGGTGTTCCAGTTGCACCCCACAAATGACTGCAATGTTTGAGAGATCCCAGATGAGACCAGCAAAGAACCATGTAGCTGAGCCCCAGTCAGCTGCAAAATTGTGAGAAGTGGTGTTTGTTGTTCTAAGCCCCTAAGTTTTGGGGCAGCTTATTACCTAGCAATAGATAACCAAATAATCAACACTTCTCCTCCCCTTTTTTTTTTTTTGAGAGAGAGTCTCACTCTGTCGCCCAGGCTGGAGTGCAGTGGCGGGATCTCGGCTCACTGCAACCTCCGCCTCCCAGGTTCAAGCGATTCTCCTGCCTCACCTCCTGAGTAGCTGGGACTACAGGTGCGTGCCACCACGCCCAGTTAATTTTTGTATTTTTAGTAGAGACGGCCTTTCACCATGTTGGCCAGGATGGTCTCCATCTCTTGACCTCGTGATTCACCCGCCTCAGCCTCCCAAAGTGCTGGGATTACAGGCATGAGCCACCGCACCTGGCCCCCTTTTTGTGTTTATGGAGATCACTGCCCTTTCAATATTTAACTTTATTCAGTTCTTAATTTTCCTGTTGCCATTTGAATTATGGGCCCATTTCAATATTTAAGACAAAATGGAAAATTTACAGACACAGTTGTGGTAAGAACAGCAGCTTACAATAGAACTAAAGCCTCTTGTGATATGATTATACCTGTGCCTTTCTCTGTGGCCTTTCTTCAAGACCTTCGAGGAAGGGAGACACATCATCATCATCATAGATTGTAAACTCCAAGTCTTTACCAACAATTCCAATGGAAACATTCTGAAGGGTAAGAAATGGTAAAAGTAAAATAAGATAATTTGGATGAAAAAATACATATAATAAAATATTGGGTGAAAAAAGCAGAATAAGGATTTATATAGCACCTGAATAAAACCTTAAAAACCATTTATGGGTAGGGGAAAAAAGAAGGAAACTAGCAGACCCTTGTCATTTGCAGATTTAATATTAATACTCACTTTTGATTATCATGAGTAACTCCAAAGATCTATATTATCTACAAACATTTTTTAAAAAAGATTATGCAGGTTATAAAGTCTTCACATTGATATTAAACAATAATTATCCAATCACTATAACAAAATGGCTTGATAAAAGTGACTAATCTCACTTTATTAATGATCATTAACTTTAAGTAGGCCTTAGTGGTTCCTGGATCCCACTATACCCGTTCCTACATCATTCATGCTCCCCTTCTTTAAGACACTTCTAACATTCTCCAAGCTCTTTGCAGCTGAAAACCTTGTTCCTTTATTACTGCAAAAACAGAAGCAACTGGAAGAGAACTTTCACAAGTTCCCACTGTATCCACTCTTTCCTATACCTATGTCCCTAGATTCTCTCCTTTCCCATTAAAATTTCCTCTCTAAGGCCAACCCTTCCATCTATGTACTATTAAAGGACATTGCTCTAACAATTTTCTCATTATTTTTCCTCATAAATGCTTCCCTAAATTTACCTGGATTACTCTCACAATCATGCAGCAAATGTGATGTAATTTCTTCCATCTTAAAAAACAAAACAAAACAAAACAAAACAAAACAATTTCTCCCTCCTCTTCCAGTCACCACTCCATTTCTGTGGACCGTCAACAGAAAATACCCTCCAAAGAGCTATCTCCAATGCCTCATCTCCCATTCTCTCCTGATTCCACTATCATGTTTTTGCCTTATCATTCCATTAAGGTTGTCTTGTCAAGTCCTCAGTGACAACTTCATTGCCCTTCCTCCTTGAAAGTTTATTCATTTGCCTCCAATGCCTCATTTTCCAAGTTTTCCTCCTACTTCTTTGACCACTTTTCTCAGTCTTTTTTGCTAATACCTACTCATCTCCCTGTCGCTAAAGGTTAGAGTGTTCTTGGTCCAGTCCTCATAATGCTTGTCTAACTATTCAATTCCTTTAGGAATCTCTTCCAGTCCAGACTCTAAATGCCATTTCTATATAAAGACTTCAAAAATTTGAAATGTAGGTTGGACCACTCTCTGTGGAACTCCATTGGTTGCTTATAACTGCTTACTCTGTACCGTCAATTGGACAAAAAGGCATTTCAAATTTTACATGTCCACAACTGACTGCCTGACCTTCCTCCCCAACGCCTACTTTAAAACCTGTTCCTCCCACTGTCTTCTTCACCTCAGTAAATCATAAATCTTTCCTTACAATTAATCAGGCCCAAAACCTCAGAGACATTCCCCGCTCACACCCTACAACAAATCTATTAGCAAACTTTTTGGCTGTAATTTCAAAAGATATACAAAATTGAACCACTACTCTTCATCTTAAACTCTGTCACTCTGTTCCAATCACTATCCTCTCTCACATGAATTACCTAAATAGCCTTAAAACTATTTCTACCCATAGCCCCACTATCTATCTACCCCTACAATCTGTTTTTTTTTTTTTTTTTTTTTTTT